TCCTCAAGGTTGGCGAGTCTGATGCCAAGGCCTCGGGTGCCCGCAACCAGTACGCTGACTACATCGAGGAGGCTGAGGGTCTGGACAAGATCGAGCAGCTGCAGGTTCACCAGAACATCGACATTTACGAGAAGGCCGTCAAGATCCTCGAGAACTACTTCGCCGCCGAGGAGGATGACCAGAACCTCGCGCCCAACGTCGACCCCAACCAGACTGCCTTCACCTTCGGCGCGCCCAGCGGTCTCCCCAAGGAGGGCTTCAACTTCTAAGCCCGCCCAGCTCGACCCTCGAGATCTGCAGGATAAGGTCAAGTCCTTCTTCTGCTTGCTCTCGCCCGAGACCACACCACCTCCCCTCCCACTTCTCTCCGCCGCTGCTACGCTCCGCTGCGATCGCGCTCTAGCTATGCTCTGCGCTGCTGCCCTGCTGCCGTATGCTGGCCATCCGCCCGGTTGGCTTCGGCCTTGGTCTTCGTGCTCCCCTGTCTACTGCGCTGCTGTCGTGCGCGCGCGGCACACGAGACCTCGGCCCGGCCCTGCCTTCCGTTCGAGGCAACCCCCCACCGCTTTACACGCTGCTGTACCTTGCCCGCTGTGTACCGTTTTTTGAAGCTTATCGCGAGCACCCCCCCCCTGCAAATACATTCCGGCATACCAACACCTCGTCTTCTCGATGTTTCCTCTTCGCTTTTGGTCTGTTGCTAAAACAAAGAAAAACTGCGAGACGCGAAGGAGAGCATGGAGGTGCCTGCGGGCAACTCAGAGTTGTGCAGCGGGGACCAGAAAGTGGAGCCGGACCACGCAACACCATGGGGGTGGGCCAATCCACATATGGATCCCACAGCTGCCGATTTCGTGCTCTTTGCGCATCTTATACCGTGCTGCCAACATTTCGTGGCTGATTCGGAACCCAAGGTGGCGTTCGAGGCGGCCATGAACGCACGCAAGGCTCGCTTTGGCGCCCACAACCGGTACCCTCACCATGAAAGTTAATCAAGGTAGTGCTGGAGAAAAAGAGTAACTTTTTCCACACACACACACACCACACAACACGTAGGTTCCTGGAGTACCTGCTGAACCACCCCGTGAACCGCGGCATCGGGCAGACGCTGGCGTCGAAGGACTTGACGGCGATTGAGGAGCGCAGTGCTTCGTGGGAGCTGGTGATCTGCCTCATGCGCAACATCCTCTGCCACGAGTACTGCTTCGGGTGGAGCTCTGTGCGCGAGATGATGCGCGTCAGCCTCGACCACTTTGGCGGCCGACACGAAGTGGAGCAGCTCTTGCACCTCTATGCCGCACTCGTCCTGCTGCCACCACCGTCATCACCGTCACCGTCACTGTCATCATCATCAGGGCACGACGACACGACCAATTCGAGGAGTTCAAGTAATGCGCATCAAGGCAGATATCGCTTCTTCTTCTTCTCTTTACTTTCGCCGCTTCTCCTCTCTCCTCTTTTCTTGCTGCTGACGGCGCTACTGGTACGGGGACAACGTGCTGACGTCATCGCTCGCGGGCTCCACCACTCACAAAACCCACCACCACCACCACCCACCACCGTGAGTTCGTGCGCACTAACCAGTCCGTACTACAGACGATGATGGAGGTCAAGGCGGCGAGCCCTGTCTGGGCCATCTCTCCGATTCGGAGGAGCTGTGGCGCGACCTGCTCCTCTTCGCCCAGCTGATCCCGTGCCGGTACGCCTATGTCCTGTGTGTACGTGTGTGTGTGTGTGTGTGTCGTGTGTGTGTGTGTGTGTGTGTGTGGCGCGCTCTTTCGGCCTCCTGCCATTTGATTTGACATGTGGTGCCGTTGGTGGTGGTGCACACCCTTCTTCTCAGGTCCAACAACGCGATCGTGGACATCCAATTCGAAGAGGAGATGTTGGCCATGGCCGAAACCAAGGACTTTGGCGATTGGGAGGTAAACAAGCACGGCACCGCCACCGCCACCGCCACCGCCACCGCCACCGCCACCGCCACCGCCACCGCCACCGCCACCGCCACCGCCACCGCCACCGCCACCGCCACCGCCACCGCCACCGCCACCGCCACCGCCACCGCCACCGCCACCGCCACCGCCACCGCCACCGCCACCGCCGCCACCGCCACCGCCACCGCCACCGCCACCGCCACCGCCACCGCCACCGCCACCGCCACCGCCACCGCCACCGCCACCGCCACCGCCACCGCCACCGCCACCGCACACGACGCACGCTGTGCGCGCAGAGAGGGTGTTGGCCTCAAGAAAGGGGTGGACTTCCTTCCCAGGTCTTTGCCGAGTACCTTAAGACACACCCGGCCAACCCGCAGCAGTGGATCACTCCGTCCCACGACATCTCTTGGTTAGTGCCCCTCCTCCGCCCACCGCCGAGCCTTCGCTTCTCGCTTCTGCGCGTGTCGTGTCGTGTCGTGTCGTGTCGTGTCGTGTCGTGTCGTGTCGTGTCGTGTCGTGTCGTGTCGAGTCTTACACGCGTGTGCGTTGCGTGTGCACCATCTCGCATGCATCAATTGTTACCACCACGACGCGCGTGTGCAGGATGATGGTCATTCGGCTGATGCGCAACATCCTGTGCCACGAGCGGAGCATGCGCTTCGATGGTCTGCGCCAAGTAGGCTCGCTTCTTCCTTTCTTCTCTGCCAGTCTCTCTTCCCCCCCCCCAAGCCGTTGCTCACGCACGTCCATTGTGCTCGCCTGTGGCGCGACGCAACGTGCACAGTTTGCGCGCAAGACGCTCGACTACTTCAGGGAACGCGCCCACTTCCACGACTTCCTGGCCCTCTACCAGGCCCACTGCCGCGGCCGGCCGCGCCTGCTCGCCGGTGCTCTGCCTGCCCACGTCATCACCGCATTTTTCTCTGTCGACTGAAACCATGCGCCGCACACTAACCCCGTCTCGCGCTGACGCAGGGAACGACGACGACGACCACCGCGGGCTGATGGTGATGACGTCATCATCTTCATCAGCTGAACCCGTCCGTACTCACGACGGCGGCCTGCGGTTGTTCCCGGCCGCGCAGATCCAGACCGCCCTGGCCCACAACTTTTGCGTTTGGGAGCGGCCCCGCACCGGCGCTGGCCGACGCTGCGAGCGAGGGCTCTTCTGTGGCCTGCGCCCGCTGCAGGCCTTCGTTCGCAAGTGTCTCGCCGCCGCACCACCGTCCAACCCGCCGTCGCTGCTGACGTCAGCATCGGACTCTGACGAACTGCGCCACGGGGCTCGAGCGAGGCCGGCCCGGAGGGAAAAGATCGCGGCGCTCATCACATGCGGTCGTGGGAGCGGCAGGACCAGCGCCGCCTTGGTGATGGCCCACCACATCACGAGCCCGCTCGACGACGGCGACGACGGTGTCGACAGCAACGTTGACGCCGACGTGGCACGCGATGCGGCCGTTGATCAACCAGGCGCCAATTGCAACGGACGGCGCATCGTCTACGTCGACTGCGGCGCGGCCGAGCACGCGGCGCTCAGGTCCGGCGCCCCGCGAGAGCGAATACGCGGCCTCCTGCGATTTCTGTCCCGAGAGCTCGACTTCGACGAGACCCATTCGTCGCCGCCGCCGCAGGTGAAGCGCGAAGATAACGAAAAGAACGACGAAAACGAAGACGAAGAAGAAAGCGATGAGGCGACGATCGAGGCGGTGGCGAAGAAGGTCGAGTTAATGACGACGACGAGACGAGGGGCTGCGACGGGCAATCGGGTGGCTGTGATCCTGGACGACTACCACGCGATGGTCATGGCCGAGGAGGGCAGCCTCACGAGCGGCGCTAGCGGCCGGGCGGAGGTGCTCGTCCGCCTGCACGAGGCCATCGCCGACCTGGCCGTCGTCGGCGTCTTCTTCATCCTCACCTCCACGCCCTGCCTCGCCCTCTACCTCTACTACTTTGCCGCGGCCGACGACGACCACCACCGCCACGGCCCCGGCCAGCCGCGACCGGCCGAGCCACAGGTGCCCAGCGAGCCCTACGGCGGCGGCGGCAAGCGTAAGGTGGTCGGCCACGTAAGCACGGACTGCGCGCAGAAGAGGGCAAAGACGGCCCACGGCGGACACCACGCAGGCCAGACGACGCGGCCGACGTCGGTGGTGGACAAGGTGCGGGTGCGGAACTGCCTGAAGGGGCTGCACGTGTACGACATACCGGGCGAGGCGGGGTCGGAGGGCGAGCTGAAGGCCACGGAGCTGCTGCTGCGCCACTACCTGCCGGCGCTGCACAAGCACCACCTCAAGGCCATCCTCCACCACCTCGGCGCCGCCCAGGTGCCCCTTCACCCCGCGCTCCTCGTCTCGAGTGCCGTCGCCTGGTGCCTCGCGGACGAGCAGACCCAGGCCCAGGAGCAGGAGCAGGCCACGGTGTTCACGGTGGCCCTGGCCGACCCTACCAGGCCCGTGGTCCACGACCGACTCTTGCGCGCACTCGCGGCCGTCCATGGCGACGTGGCCTCGCTCCTGGCCGTCGGCGGCGGCGGCGGCTACGTGGGGCTGCTTCACGCGTACGCGTCGGAGGGCGGCGAGGAGCGGCCCAAGGGCGCGCTGTGGGCCTCACTGCTGGCCAAGGACGCCGAAGGCCGGTGGCGCCTCAAGGACGTGTACCTCACCACCGTGCTCCACTTCTACGTCGACCGCGAGGAAGAGGACGCGAGCGAGGAGCTGACGTGGAGGCTGAAGCCGATGCCGATGCCGATGCCGATCGGGTTGGGCCTTGGGCCACCGGCGCCTTCGCTACCGCCGGTCGTGCTGCTGACCCACGCCGCCCACCTATGGCGTGTCTCGATGACGCCCGGCTGATCGGGTACCAAATGTTGGAAGACAATGCTGTGTCGAAGGCGTGAAACTCTCCTTCGTCACTTTGCTGTCAAGGAGATGTGGTCATGAACATGTTGATCAATATGTGGAGTTTTTGTTGTATGGGTAACAAAAAAATGATACAAAAGGGAGATGAAGGGCGAGCGGATGCCGCTCTGCTGCTGAACCCTCATCATAGCCAACTGCTTCTGCTGCTGCTGCTTCAGTTGCAGGTGAGGCCGGAGAGGGTGGCCGTGGGGGTGGCGATGGTGGTGGCCGTCGTCGTCGTGGCCACGATGCCGGCGCCCTGCGACGCGCCCACCTGGATCGGGCCGTACGTCGTTGGGATGGTGAACGTCGTGGCGTCCTTGCGGTTGAGCTCCCAGAACTGGCTCACCGACACGCCCGATGCCAGCGTGAACGACACCTGGCCGCCGGTGAGGGCCTTCGAGCCTGTGTTGCTCACCACCACGTCGAAGATCTGGTTCCACTTGTTCCCGTCCTGCCACTGACCCCCGCTCGCTGCCGACCTGGCCACGATGGTGAGCTCGGCGCTGCAGCCGGCGGGCGCCGCGCTCGGCTGAGGCGTCGCCACGACGGGGCTCGACGGCGACGGCGAAGGCGCCGCGGTGGGCGAGCCCGAGCACGTGGCCGACTCGACCTTGACCACGGGCGTCGCCACGCTCTGGCCCTCCTTGGACTTGACGATGAAGCCAGCGCCCTGCGAGGCGCCCACCTGGATGGCGCCCCACGGCGTGGGCACGTTGAACACGTTGGTGTTCTCCTTCCGCTCCAGGTTCCAGAACTGGTAGATGCTCACGTCGGCGCCGGACACGCTGATGGTGAGCTTGACCGCGGTCACGGGCGTGTTGCCCGAGTTGGTCGTCGTCACGTCGAAGATCTGGAACTGCGAGTCGCCCTCGGTCCACTGGCCGCCGCTGGCGGCGGAGCGCGCCACGGACTCGACCGTCACGGTGCACCCGGTGGGCTGCGGCGAGGCGACAACGACGGGCGAGGCTGACGACGAGGGCGACGCGGCGGCGGGCGATGCCGAGGCCGAAGGGGTGGCGGGCGAGGTCGAGGGGGCGACCGAGGGCGAGACGGCCTTGCAGTCGACGGCCTCGAGATCGATGGTGGCCTGCGCCTTGCTCTTGATGATGTATCCGAACTGGTACGACCCGCTCACGTCGATGCCGCCGTTCTGGAGGATGTAATCGGGCAGGACGTAGAGGCCGCGGTTGTCCTTGACGATGTTCCACAGCTGGTCGAAGAGCGAGTCGTTGGTGATGGAGAGGTCGACGGACTTGACGCCCTCGGAGCCCGTGTTGGTGATGGCGACGCTCCACTGGGAGAAGTCCTGGCCGTTGGTGGTCCACGCGCTGCCCAGGGTCTGCGTGACCGACACCTGGCAGTCGGCCGCCGCCATGGCCAGCAGAGCGGCTAACACCGCGAACGAGAGCAGCTTGTTCATCTTCTTCTTGTTGTTGTTGCTGATGTTGGTGGTAGTTGTTGGTTGTTGGTTGTGATGATGATGAGAATGGCGGAGGTCCTGGGTTTTATAAGTGGTGAGCAGCGCAGGGCATGACCAGGCACGGAGGTGGGTCGATGGAAATTCTCTGGTTTTTGCGGGTCATGTTCGAATAGTGGCGGTTTCTTGTCGACCATTAAGTGTGCACTGTTGTCAATTGGTCGCTGCACAACATACGACCCACTATGCCCACTGGTTTTCACATGTTGATTACCAGGGGTCCAGGTTACCAGCTACATACACGTGCTACATGGGCAACAGGGACAATGGGCTCATCACCATCACCAGAACTTGATGGTGATGTTGAAGGAGTGAAGGACCGAGGCGAGACCACACACGGCCAGCATGTAGCCTGTGAGCACCCCGAGGGCCTCTGCACGGACAAACGAACGTGTCCGCACGGTGGTGCGAAAGATGTCAAAACACTGCGTTGCTGTGAGGCAGGACAAGACTCAGCTGATCGTCCGTACCAGAATCGCCGGCGTAGAGCGTCTTCATCGAGAAGTTGACCAGGCCCACCATCAGATTGGCCTGGATCACATGCAACACAGGTTGATCACAAGGAAAGAGAAGACGACCGCGACAGCGAGCAATGTGTGTGTGTGTGGTGTGTGTGTGTGTGTGTGTGTGTGTGTGTGTGTGGTTGCGGTTGATGGCCTGGATGAGGCCGTCCCACGGTCGCTGGGGTGGTGGCACCAGCATGCTCACTAGTACCACCAGGCACAGGGTGAGCAGGTTCTGGGCCAGCGTGCTGAGCACGTAGGTGAGGTTCATCTGCGCCCCCGTGTCGATGCCGCGTCGCGCGTGCGATGTGTGCGTGTTAAAGACGCTGTGCGTATCACACACACACGCACACACAGGAGCCGCTGCGCACTGCACTGGGAGGCGTACCATGCGTCGCGAGCTCGGTTCCACGTAGGCGTCAACGGCGAGGGTGACCACCCAGAGGAGGACGTCCAGCGCGGCCAGGCGCATGACCAAGCGCCATCCGTCCCGCCTCGTCTTGCGATCGACGAGCAGCATGCTGCCCAGACGCGTGCCGACAAGAAACAACGAAAAGTAACCTAAACCGCACACGTCGCACACACCGCACACGCACACGCAATTGAAGTGAGTTGTGTCCACTGCCACACGGAGGTCTGGGTGGTGATCTTACCGATCGCACTAAACACGCCCTCCTTGTTCTGTGAGAGAAGGTCGACTCGGGGCGCGTGGAGGATGTAATCGCGCAGGCCCAGACCCAGCGCCGCCTGGTAGGCTGTGTGAATGGTCAGCACCCGCCGGCTAAGCGCCCAGAAGCAGTGGTACGTACCCAGAGCCAGGAGGAGGCCGTAGACGGCGCCCTTTGCCTCCGACACGTTGCAGAGTCCGGCCAACAGCGAGACGGCGGCGAGGGTGAAGAAGAAATTCCAGTGCACGCCGTACTCGGTCACGTGCTCCTTTTTATACGACCGTTCGGTCGGGGGGTGGATGAGTTACGCCAGGCCAAAGCGTTGACAAACACGACACACGCGACACACAGTGTGGCCGGTAGGTACTTACTTGGTAGTCGGTGCTCTTCACGGTGAGCAGGCGCACGCAGCCCAGGACGAGGAGCGGGGCCATTCGCAGCAGCAGGTTGACGACGCTCTTCCTCCGGGTCTGGCGATACACCAGCGCGTTGGAGAGGAGGAACGACCCGACGCCCATGTCCATCTTCAAGAGCAATAGACGTCGACGCATGAATGTAAAATACGCGCAATGCATTCCCCAGCGTGTGTCGTGTCGTGTCGTGTCGTGTCGTGTCGTGTCGTATCGTGTCGTGTCGTGCGTGGTACCAGGGAGGTGCCATAAGTTTCGGTTTTGGCGAAGCGGCGAGGGAAGATCGGGAAGTCAACAGCCAGGATGGCGATGCACGTGCACAGCATCTACCAGCACATTTCGACCGTACACGCAGCACACGCACAACGACGGCACACGCACGCACGCACACAAAAGAAGTGTGTGGCAGGAAGTGAGAAGGAAGCGATCGCTTGGGGGTGGGAGCGAGCGGCGCAATAACAGACGAATCGAGGACGAAGCACCATGGCCGTTCGGTACATGCTGAGGAAGGGCTTGTACTTGCCCACCAGCATCGGCGCGGCGTCCGAGTCGCGCGCGCCGCTCGTCATAAAGCACGACGTGTTGTGCCGCCTGTCGTTGCAATGGCACACGCACAACACGCACGCACACGCACACGACCGCACGCAGGTGTAAGTGCGCAGATGTCGTGCCTACAGGGTCCAGGAAGAGCACCAGCGAGAGTAGGCATCGAGCGCGGCGCACAGGAGGAGAACACCGGCGAAGACGAGGGGGACGGTGTGGGGCATGGTGAAGGTGGCCAGCATGGGCAGCACCAGGCACACGAAGTCGACCACGAACCGCAGCGGCGCGCCAAAGTCGGGCGCCGATCGGGAGCACAGCGACACCACCACGCTGTGCAGCAGGTAGGTGACCTGCAGCGCACCCACCAAACCAAAAACAAACAAAATCAATAAATAAAACCAAAGTGGGGGGGGGTAGCATGCCCAGGGCAGTACCGGGATGGTGAGTGCCACAAGAGCCACCTCGCCCATGCTGGTGCCATGCAGGTTGCTCACAAACGCCTCCTTCTCCTCCTTGTAGGAGCTCATCTTGTCGGCAGGGCTTGTGCAAAATAAAATTAATATTAAAAAAATAAATATAAAAATTGATTTTTGGTGCCCCTTCGGCAGAGAGCGGACGGTGATGACGAAGAGGTCACGACGAAGCGCTTTTACTGACAAAGGAGAGGATGAGGATGAAGAAGCACAGGACGAGGTTGAAGAGAGGGATCTGGAGTGTGCTCGGGAGGGAGTAGATGAGCGAGACGGCCGGCACCCAGACCAGCCACGTCGAGCACAGCACCGACGGAACTCGATAGAAGATGAAGTCCCAGTCCAGCTCCGCGGCCAGTCGCTTGACGGAGAAGTCGCAGTCCTTCCACATGAACCCGAGCGCTGCAGTGCCGCCAACGCCTCATAAGCATCAAATAATTGATTGACAAAGAAATAATTAAAATAAATCATAAAATAATAAATAAATAATAAAAGAACGAAGCCACGAGGTCAGCCCAGGCAGAGCTCGGGTCGGGCGTACTGTTGCTGGGTGCGGCGTAGATGGGGTTCCACACGAACTGATCCACAACCACCTTGATGAAGATGGTCCAGAAGTCGGTGCCCTCGCCGAAGATGTAGGCCTGCATCCGGTAGAAGGCATCGGTTTCCATGCCCTTGTAGCCCAGGAAGCCAGCATAGAAGCAGAATCGCGCGATGAGCAGGCCTGTTGATGGTTCGTTTTCCTCGTTTTCTCCCGATGTCGCTTCATCTTCCTCAATGAAATCGCCGTACGGCTTAGCGGCGCTTTCCTCCTTTGTCGCTGCCGCGGCGGCCTTCCTCCTCTTCTTGGCGGCCAGGTGGTCCTTCACGAGGAGGATGAGGTAGGGGATTATGCCACCGAAGAGAGACGTAGAGAGGATGGAGAAGAAGTAGCCGCCTTGCTCTTTCACCGCTGCAATCTTGTTGAAGAAGGTCTCGGCCGGCTCGTACGTGTAGTATCCCACGACGACGCACGTACCGATGATCTGCAGCACGATGCCAGGGATCAGATTTTGCTTGAGGCCCTGTAGCGTCGCCTGCGCTAGAGATGGCCGTCCCTCCTTCTTCTTTCTGCTCTCGAGTTCTTCGATGAATTGGGTGGTGCTGTCTCCGTGCTTGTCGCCAAAGTGCTTGAGATCGCTTTCGGCATCGTAGGTCGTGTCCAGGCCATAGGAGGGTGGCTTGGCCGAAGCTTGGGAAGATTTCGAAAATGTCGTAAATGAAGATTTGGCAAGAAGGCCGATCGTTTCGCCGTCATCTACGGACGTGTCGCTCTTCATCTTCCAAGCAGAGAAGGATGTGTAACGAGAGATTGGTTGGTGAGGCTGGCAAAGAGCGCTACATGGACGAGCAGCAACGGAGAGGAGACCCACCACTTCCAACAGAAGCCAGAACGCTCCGCAGCATTCCTATCACGGGAATTTGACAAACTTGCCCGCAAAAGGCATAAGCATTCCAAAAATTCCAGAAAATTAGCCGTTCCTGGTGGGTGACGAACAAGAACGAACTCAGGAAATGTTCTCTCTGTGTGCGGTGCGTTGGGCGTTTGGGCGAGCATGCATGTACACGTAGAGTTGCTGTTTCTTCACGTCCAGGCTACCTGACAGAAGGGTATCACCACGGTCGGCGTGCAATCAACTCCGCTGGGCCTGCGGAGGTGGGTGGCCCAGCTTCTGCCGCTTTCGGTACTCCTCCTCGGCCAGCTCTGTGAGTTCCTTGATGTCCTCCCGCAGATGCCGGCTCTGGACATCGTATCGGTCGTAGGCATCGCGTATCTTGATGATCTCCTCCCTGATCTTGCTTCGTGCCTTGGCCAGCTCGTCCAGCTCCTTCCTCTCCGACTCGCTCTGCGTGCTCTCCAGGGCTGGAGGGAGAATCCACGCGTTAGAACCGAACCAAAAACCATCACCTATGCCTCCTAGTACCTCGGCCACGGTTGATTGCAAGAGGGTGAGGAGAAGAGCCGACGCTCATCATCTCGTGGTCCTTGAGTATCTTGTAGAAGGATTCGGTGGGATCATGGAACTCGATCTCGTCGTAGATCTCTTTGATGACCGGCTTCTTGGTGGAGAGCCCCACGTTGCCCTCCGGCGGGTAGAGTACGAGCGCGTGAACAAGGTCCACCGGCACCTGAGGAGTCGATTACGTGCATCAGCCCCTACTTCCAATCACTCGCGAGCACAAGAAGAGAGATGAGAGAAGAGGAAGGAAACCTCGAGCGGATCCACGAAGTGAATCTTTATGTTGAGCTCAAACTCGCCCCATCCGTGCTCCGTGATTTCGTAGGGCGGGGTCTCGATCACTAGCAGCACGCCACGAGCAAATGAGCAAAGTGCAAGTCAGCTAGTAACGTTGGCCGTGTCGTGTCGTGTCGTGTCGTGTCGTGTCGTGTCGTGTCGTGTCGTGTCGTGTCGTGTCGTGTCGTGTCGTGTCGTGTCGTACCGCGCACAGGGTTAGGGAAGGAAGGGTGAAGAGTGAAGACCACCTTCTTGATGAAGTAGGAAAGATCTTCGTTGTGCGGCCCGCGCACGTAGGTCGTCCATCGATGGGTCTTGGTATCGTCGGCCTTCTTGCCCAGCCACCACGATATGTTGCCGTAGATGATGGGCCGCTCCACCAGGGCACCCTTGACCCGTGCCGGCGCTGGCACGCTGCCGCCCAGCGCGGGCGAGGCCAGCAACGATGAAGAGGATGAAGAGAGCGAGGGAGACTCGGGGGCGGGCGAAGAGGTCAACGGCGAAGAGGGGCTCTGCAGGGTTTGTGCTGAGGCGTGCGAAGGCGACGGTGATGGCGCTGGCGGTTGGGAGTGCGAAGGTGAAGCCAGGAGGGGCGACAGCGTAGTGGACATGGCGGCAAACGCAGAGTCGCGAGAATCGATTACAGAGGGGACAGATGGAGATGGAGAGGGGGAAGGTGCTGGTGATGATTGCGCGTGGCGAGGATTCGCGGGAGATGAGAGGGAAGATGATGAAGAGAGTGGAATGAAGGAGGAGGGCGAAGATGCAGAAAGCGAGGATGAAGTGGGCAAAGGGGACGCTGAACCAGGAGTGGAGGTATTCAGGGTGGACATCCCTGGCAATTTTATCGTAATTTTTCGCTTGCGCTTGCCCACCCCTGGCGAGGGTGCGGGCGATGCGAGCGTGGGTGACGGCGATGACCGCATAAGTGCAGGCGATGATCCTCCCACGACAACCGAGATCTTTCTCGATGCAATTGGCGTCGAGGGGGCGGGTGTGCTTTCCTCCTCCATCTCGGTGCCGAAGGTTCAAAAATAAAATAAAAGACCAACATCTCAATTTCATATTTTCTTTTGCCAAAAGATCGAAGATGAGCCAACAAAGCCGAGGGGCAGGACGATACACGTGCAGGTCGACCTGCACTGCAATTGCAATCTTTTTGGTTCTTCTCTCTGTTGTGCATCTGCCCGCAGTAGCAGCTGCATCGGATCGGCCGAGCGACGTGACGTGGATGCGACGCATGGCCGATGGCGTCAAGGATGCCGTCGCCTCCACACCCCACCTTCGCCAGATCCTGGCCATTCGACAAGAGAAGCCTGCAGGAGGGCAGAGTGCGCTCCCCCTCCGCATTGATTATTGCTTTATTTTTACATTTGATTTTTCTCATCCTTGCTGGTGCAGACTGCACGACAAACGCGACGTGCCACCATGGGACGTGCGTGAAGGGGGCCAACGCCACCGCTGCAGACTCGGGCTTTTGCGTCTGCATACCGGGGTATTGAAGCGCTCTTCTTGTGCGTCGTGCGGAGCTCACTAACTGGTGCTCTCTCTTCTTGGCGTCAGGTGGATGGGAGAAACATGCCAGCATGAGCAAAAGTCGCTCAAGACGGCCTTCCTCCTCAGCTTCCTCTTGGGCAACATGTACGCAAAGCGGCGCCGGCACTGGCTTCAGTTCTGGATCTGGCCACTCGCTCAATGCGTGGCTCACACGCTTTCTCTACCCTCGCAGTGGCGCCGATCGTCTGTACTTGGGCTATGTGGGCAGCGGGGTGGCCAAGCTCCTGATCAACCTCTTCTTGTGCATGTTGCCTTGCTGTCCGCTTTGGTATGCCTTCTTCCACGCCTTCTTGTTGGTTTGTGTTGTTGTTGGCATTTCTGGAGTTGATGAGCTTGACCACGACTAACTGGGACTAAAACTCTTTGCCTCTCTCGTGCTACAGTTACATGTGCCGCACCCTCAACGGAGGGCGCCAAGCTGACCTCGCCTATGGCGCCACCGTGGGCACCCTCCTGGTCTCGGCCGCTACCGTTTGGCTCTGGTGGCTCGTCGTACGGAACCATCTCTGCCCTGTTTGTTGTCATTCCCTGCCGCACACGCATCGAACCACTCACTCTGGTCATGTGTGTGTGTCGACGACAGGACTGGATCATGATCGTCACCGACGCCCTGCCGGACGACTCTGGCTACCCGCTCTTCGACAACTTGTAAATAGAAAAAAGACCCACGAGCGAAACCTCACAGCAACTTGGTTGCAAAGCCCTCGGCGCGCACGTGATATTGGCTTCTTGATGGCCTTACGGTCTGGCCCGTGCTCTTGCCTTTCCGCTGGGTCACTCGGAAGTATGCAAACTATGCGACAAAAGAGAAATTGAGCGGCAAGAACGCGCCGCCTCCTGTTCCTTTCATTGCCTCCAGAAGGAAACGCCAGAAGGAAGAAGACCGCCGCAGCTCGAGTTCATTCACTGTTTAGTTACACCGCCACACAAACGAAGACCATGCACAAACGCTCCCACTTCGAGATGGAGTACCACCCTCCGGGCGATGGCAGCCCACCACCATTCTCGCCCTACGGCACCTTCCCAAGTCCCGCTGCATCAATCTACCCCACCCCTACATCTTCCTTCCCCGGCGGGGACTTCTACCAGCCACTCGACCCCGTCTTTGATTCGATTATGCAGTTTAATCATGTGGACATAACGCCCTACCCCGTCAGCCCTTCGACCCTCGGCGACCCTCTGTGGCCTGTAGCCACCACTACCACCGGCGTGCGCGACAGCTGCGCGGACGTGCTTCTGGCCAGTCCTCCCTTCGGGCGCAAGAATATGAATGAAGCGCAAGAACGCGAAAACGAAGATGAGGCGCTGTCGCTTTCGTTCTTTCGGACCGAGCGCTCGCTCTCGACACACCGGACGGCGGGCAGCTGGCCAAGAGGGAGTGCCCCCGGTAGGGTCCCTCGGCGACACAGCCCTCTGGTCCGCGCCGGAAGCCACTTCGGGCTCGCGCTGGACCTCAAGCAGCTGGCCCGTGTCTTCGCCGACAACGTGTGGGTATGGACGCCGCTCAACCCTTCGATGCTCAACGACGACCGGCTGCTCCAGCTCGTCCAACCGGCCTCCATGCAGCGAAAGCACACCACCCTGGTCTTGCACGCTTGCCTGGCCCTGTCCTGGGGTTCGCTTACCCAGCACCACGTGCGCCCCAAAATTGGCAAAAATGCCAATTCGTTTGCGTTCACGGTCGGCTGGCAAGACCGCCAAAGACCAAGACCACTTACGTGTCCACACTTACGCCGTACTCTTGACCTGGTGGCCTGACCCTGCGTGTAATGTGCTGATGTGCCGACTAGGTGCCTTCCTCGTTGGCGCTCACGACCGAGCAGATGAATTCTTCGCTATGGCACGCGAGCACGCCGGTATGCTGTTTGACCGAGGGACCTACGCCAACGCCGAAGCTCTCTACTGCATGGCTTACCTGGCGTTCTGCAGAGTACGTCGTCCACGACTCAGTGCAGTGGGCCGACTCACCGAAGCCACAGCCGCAGCTGATCTCACTTATCTGTGCCTGTGCTGTTGACTTCGCACACAGGGTGACCTGCACAAGATGGGCTATTACACGACGTTGGCCAAGGACATGTGCCGACAGCTGGGCATCGTAAACAGCGACGTCTTCACGAAGTGTATCCTGATATCGCACATCGACCCGTCCGTCCGGTTCTCAGGTACGCCTCACCGCCTTTTAGCTCCGACCACACAGCTCGCATCTCCCGCTCGTAGTCGCTGAACTGATTGCCAATCGTGTGTCATGCAGAGTTGCAAGCAATGTACAAGGAGTACGACGAGTCCTGTATGGAGAGGCCGCAGGCCGAAGACATGACCAGGCGGTCCCTCATTGCGGATCAGGGCAACTTCTGGACAGCCGGCATGGCGTCCGGCACCGTCAACGCGGAGAAGGTGGGCTTCGGCATGGGCAAGATCAAGGACATGGGATTCTGCATTGCCTACGCCAACCTCTACCTGAAGCTCATACGACGACAGGCCGAGAAGCAGGGAACGGACGGCTCGAGCAGCCCACCGTCAAGCTCCGGAGTGCCCGACGTGGGAAGCACCTGGCAGGCCGTCGGTACTGCTGAGTGGGGAGCGGAGCCACAGGAGCAAGTGAACGAGAAGCGGAAGCTCATGTTTCAACTGCGTGGAATCCTCCAGTACTGGTGGCGATCCCTGATGGAGATGGGTGCGTGTTCACACCGCATTGCACCATAGTTTTACGATCGCACTAACCAACATCTGCGGTATCCTTCTCATCAGAGAAACAAGGTTGCTGTGAAGCTCTGTATCAAGTCTCTCTGGTGAAGTGGTACATCGTGTCTGGTCAAGTGGAACACTTATCTGGCAACTCTGAGGTACGCCGTTTATCCTGGCACCGTTTTCATTGCGAGCCACTCACCCTCTACTTTACCCTCTCGTGCAATACAGAAAGCGTTCCAGCACATGTGCAACTTCCTAGAGGAGGTGCAGAAGTTCAGCCCTTTCCTCGCGTTCTTCTGGCACACGTCCTGCACCTACATGCATGCGCTCGTCATTGAGGTTCTGACGACCAGCGCACGGCCGGACCTTGTGGAGATGTTGCTGCAGCTGCAGAGCACCGCCTCGCGACGCGGAATCAACACGCGAGGCTCCTGAGGTGACAGCACCGCTGTGTGCGTTGTAAATTACAAACATTTTCTACATTCTCTTATATGTCGGCAACAACTTTTTCCCGCCTTGTGGCAGATCGCAAACAACGAGCAAAAGGCAACAGACGAACGCCACCTGCGCACCGCTGTCGTGTTATCAGAAAAGAACGAGAAGGCATTCGCGACGACTGATCGCAGGTTCGATTGAAACTTGCCCTACGCTGTCTGCAACGAATGGAGTCGGTGCATAAAGGTACGGACTCGCCAAGAAGCCAATCCATTGATGATTCACTACCAATCGGAAGATTCGCATTAACATTCCTACTTGGGCTAGAAGGTTCTGATCGGCCGATGGGGTTGTTCTCTAGTTCTGCGCTCCTGCGCGTGCCCAAGGCCTCCAAGGTACATGACGCTCAAATCTGGGGGAGAGGACTTCATGTAACGCAGCAACCTGCACCATCTCGCGCACGTGCAGAAATTGGATGGGCGAATGCTCGCGGCAATTAGAGAAAAGCCCACTGCAAATGAGCAAGAGATTCAGCTTGAAGCTCGCATTCGCGCTCTTCAGAAGCGTTCTGCTGCAGGTACTAGTCTCCCATGTCTATTAGCCGCGATCTTGATGAGATAATATGATTCAAGACCTGGTTACCCACGCCTTCTGTCTCACAGTGCCCTCGAATGAAGAGCTCAAGTCCATGATCGGCCTCCTTACGCAACACTCAACGCCTCCTCACGACGCAGATGACAAAAAGGTATTCTCTCTTTGACACTTCCCCTCCCGCGTCATGCTGCTCACCAAGTGTTTTGTGCAATAGATCAACTACACGGACTTCAAGCGGGTTGGTGCCAGTGTGCCAGAGAGGTGCCGACAGTTCTTCCAAGCCTCGACGTTTCTCTACTTCCAGAAGGATGAACACAAGAGGATAAAGATTCACGCACTGTGCCAGTACATCATCGCCAACGGTGCGTCGTTACCCTCCGCTCATCATTCCAGCACGCGTCATGAGTCTCACGCGCATGCTCTCCTCTACCAGTGATACTCGAACAGGCTTGGATCAGCGTAAGCCTCTACGATGGTGATCATGACGAACGACTCACGGAAGATGTACCAACGTGCCCCGCTTGTCATCGGCTCCCTTTTGTTTGCTCCGGTTTGACTCATGTGGCGCTTCTCCCAGGACATGAATCGTTACGTGTCTGAATTTCTTGACACGGTGCCGACAGTACGCGACTACGTCTCGGCCTCTCCGCTGCTACGCAACGTGTATGTGCTGACCATAGTGCGAAAGTTCTTCTTCTTCCTCGACCCCCTTGGGACAGGTATCACTGATTAGCCTGCCCGGGCTCGCCATTACCGTCTTTTAACTTACCGATTCTCACCTTTCTTATCCGTCCTCGTATGCAGGGGCCATCCGTATTCGCACTCTCATCATGGACCCCATGTTCAAGGAGCTTGACTTCTTGCGGAAGAGTGAGGGCATGCTACGTACGCAACGCTGTGCTCCACCTATTGTTCGCGAATTGCGCACTGACCTTTCACATGATATAGCTGCCACGAGCTGGTTCCACCTCGACCACACCAATCGCATGTACAAGAAGTTTCGAAACCTCGACGCGTACGTTCCCCCCACTTTCTTTGCGACCATGCCGTCTTGTGCTTACCATCGTCTCGCTTAGGGATGGCAATGGAAAGCTGGGCGAGGATGACCTTAGAGGTTACGATCCTCCGCTCACCAACAGCTTTATCGCACAGCTTCTCACTACCAAATCGACGGCCGATGGTGAGCTTGTACGTCTTCCGCCGCAATGGCTTGTACGTTCTATTTTCTAATGTGCCTCACGTGTGCAGGACTTTCGAGATTTCCTGAACCTTGAGCTTGCGGTGGCTAACCCAACCGCCCCGCGAAGCGTCCGATACTTCTTCTCCATCTTCGACCTGGATCAGAAGGGCTACATCATAGAGCATGATTTGGCCTACTTCCTCAAGGTGAGTTTAGCCTGTTCCATTCGCTCACTCATGGTGGCCCTGTCCAATAATATGTTTGCTTGATAGGATGTACTCGAAGGATTGGACGAAACCCTGGAGCTTGAGCCGGGTGAAGAGGAGTTCGGCTCGGGGAAGGTGTTTGCAGCGGACGTTATGGTATAGTCTACACAACTCCCTCCATATATGAGACTTACCAACGGCACTGACCGGCGCCCTCCTTCGCAGAACCAAATCTTCGACTTGATACGATCTAAGCACCCACGAGTTATTACGTTGGACGACCTCATCACCAGCGGCGCCGCGCACATCTTCACGAGCATCCTTTCGAGCAGGTGCCTTGTCTTCTCCTTTGATGTTACACCAGAACAACGTACTAATGCTTCACACTCCAGGGATCTGTTCGACAACTGGGAGCACAACGATGGCCTCCGGATTAACTACCATCTGCAACGCGGCCCGCCGTCGCCCCCGCTTCCGCCGCACCGCGTCCTCGCCTTCTACCATCCCGAGGGCAGTTCCGCCGCCGAACGCTGGCCCGAACCCCCAGCACCCCCGGCGCTGGCTGTCGTCACCACCGACGCCTGAGCAGCTAGGGACACCTCTCTAACACACTCTCACTCTCGTTCGCTCTCTCACACTTTTCCGACGTCGCGGCTTATATCGTGGGCAACAGGCAGTTCCCCTATCCCCGTCTCGTTTGCCTTTTTCGTTCTGGGGCGAGGGCTGGCTTCCTTGTTTCAGTTGCGGTTCATGACGGTACATGTGCTTCATCTTGTTCAACGGCGAGTTGTGTGCTTGGTATCGCAGGAACACCGGCCAAGTGCTTGGTCGCCGAGCAAGTGTGCAGCCACCGGGGTACCGCGATCCAGGCCGACAAGCTTCTTGCCCCGCAACGGTGGTGGGCTCGGAAGCACACGAACGCAAAATCCTGGCAATAACCGCATTTCCTCAATGTAGCCGACCGGACTCAGAGGCAAGTGTGCGGCGGCTTGTTCCTCTTCGCTCGACAAGCTGTCGTTACATCAACGTAGAGAAGGTGAAGGTGGGTGGCCTGCTGCACATCGGCAAGTTCGCAGAGTCTCGCACTACGTTAGGAAGGACAAGAGGGAGGCAACAAGTATTTCGCACCCTTATCAATCGCAAGGATTATGAAACGACGCGGCAGCACCAGCGGTGAAGAGGAGGATTCGCCTGAGCAGGTGCGTGACCCCTTCTTCACTGCGTGGACAGCGCGACATGCGGATGCTGCGGCAAAACGGCTCAAGATTGGTGTCGAAAAAGAACGAGGAAATCACCTCCGCTGCCGCGCATTCGTGAAATGCCGGTGACTCCAGCTATCTGTAACATGATCTTCTTTGATTTATGGTTGGCTAGTTTAAGAGGCAGCGACGGGCACAGAAGCGGAGGACGAGCAAGGCGGCAGGACCGAAACCACGCCCTGTTGTCCTTCACGAACGCACGACCCGGACCCGCACCCTGCTGGCGAGAACCAGCCCGGTACATCATCACTCACCAGGCCGGCGCACGATGAAATATCACCGCCCTCCGGAGCGGAGGGTTTGATGGGGGACATGCTGGTCGACGAACTTCTGGCCTACATCTTCTGTTGTGGCCTCTCCTGGCGTGACTTGCCCCGGCTAGCCCTCGTTTGCAGGTACGCTGGGGCGACCCGTCTTTCGTCCCCCCCCCTTTCTTTGCCCCTCTCCGGTCTTCGTTGTCCCAGTTTGGGTTTTTTCAGAATTCCGTTGTGGTGTGCTGGGACACGACCAGGTCAGGTGGCACAATCCAGACTGTTGAGTGACAGTTGACTGTTCAGTGTTTTTCTCCTTCTTTTCGTTCTTTGCTCGTCGTGTACGGGCACACCCCAGACACCAAGAGCGCCGCCACCAACATAACCATCGTTGTTCGTTTCCATCATCTTTTGTCCTGACAGCATCAGCATCACTCTTTCCCCGCCCTGATAAGCCTGACCAAGCCTCTTTGCTGCGGTCGATCACCTTATCTAAAGTGGTTGCCTCTCATTGTCTGGTGCAGGCGGTGGCGGGCCGTGGCCGGAGATGCTGTGTTGAGGAGGCGAATGATGCGCGGGGTGGTGCTCTCTGCTGGCGGCGGTCAGCACGGTAGCCTGGGCCAGGGCGACGCCGTTACCCAACTATCCGTCCTCACGCCGATCCGTGCTCTCGAAGGTACGCATGCGACTGCCGCCCTCATTCTCGTCTCTGTCGCCGTCAATGTCATCATCTCTTCCAAGCTCCCAATTCTGTTGACAACTCGCCCGTTCGCATAGTTGTGCTGGATAACCTTAACTTTTTCGCTCTGTTCTCCCTCTTGCCCCTCGCCACCGAGCGCACCCTCCCCACCACACTTTTCTTATCTGCACTTCCACTCAACTCAAACTACGCATCAATCCAGCCCACAGAGTCGTCGCCGTGTCTGCTGGTGGCCACCATTCGCTCGTGCTCACCGAGGAGGGAAGAGTACGGTCACCCCACATTCCGCCCTTTTTTTTTTATCTTTTTTCTTCTCACGCCTTTCTTCTGGCACCACGCCTGGCCTCAGGTCTTCTCGTTTGGCAACGGCCTGCATGGCAGACTGGGTCACGGTAATGAGGAGACTTGCTTCGAGCCGCGGCGCATCGCCTTCTTTGACACGACCGCAGGCGTCGCGAAGATATCGGCGGGGACCACCCACTCGCTGGCGCTGACCAAGGACGGCAAGGCCTACTCGTTCGGGTTCGGCATGTTCGGTCGTCTGGGTCACGGCGACGAGACCGACCAACTCCTGCCGCGTGAGATCACCCTCCGCGGCCATGGGGCATCGCCACCTGTCGGCGATCGCGTAGAAGAAAACGAAACGGACCCGGTCATCGAACACGTCGCTGCCGGCTACTTTCACAGCTTGCTCCTCACCACCGACGGTACCACTTCCACACTCATGCCACGCCCTTAGGCCTGTGCCAGGCATCTCTGACAAACGTTGGACCCTCCAGGGCGCGTGTATTCGTTCGGCGCCGGGGTGATGGGCGCTTTGGGGCATGGCGATCGGGACAAGAGGCTGCGGCCGACCATGATCGAGGCGCTGGCCGACCGTCGGATCGTGTCAATGGCCTGCGGCAGCGCCAACACACTGGTGCTCGATGATGAGGGCCGTGTTTTCTTCTTCGGCCTCGACTACTCCGAATTCCCCAAGTTCACCGAGGGCCAGGCCCGCTTCGTGCTCCTCCCCTCTGCGCTCGGCCTCGCCGAGGAGATCACAGAGGTGCGGGCGGGCGAGGGACACTGCCTGTTGCTGACGAGAGAGGGCAAGCTGCTCGCCTTCGGCCTGGGCAAGAACGGACGACTGGGCCTGGGCGACGAAACCAACCGCCTCGCCCCCACCGCCGTCACCTTTCCCAGCAATGGCACCGTGCGCGGTACCACCACCTTCGCTCTTCGCGTGTGTCGTGTGGCCGTGTCTATCTACGCATTTGTCGTTCATGTGGGCATGAGTGCGTGTTGCCTGCACACACATGACTGACAGACAAGCGTGGAAATAGACATCGCGTGCGGTGCCAAGCATGGACTGGCTCTGGTGGACGTGCCGGGCGAGGGTCCGCGCCTCTACGCCTTTGGGAGCGGAGACCAGGGCCAGCTCGCCAACGGTCATCGACAGGACCGCGCCAGCCCGACCGCCACCACGACCTCGCTGCCGGCCCTCCTGCACCAGCACATCGTCCCGGCCGCCATATCCGCCGGCAAGGCCCACTCACTCGTCCTTCTATGAGCTCAACCCTCGAGTCCAGCGACCGTCGTCAACGCCGGTAGAAGCCGCTGCTTCATTACCTACTACGCCGCTGGTCAAGGTGCGAGTCAGTCGCGCCCATTCGTTCGCTCTATTTTGGCGTCCTTCTTCTTCCTCTCTGTCGATTTTCCACCCGTCGCCATGATCATCATTACCTCTTGCTTTAGCTAACCCGTACGTACCTCGTGTGTGGCCACTTAGAAGGCAACGCGACGTCGCAGCGTTGTCGCGCGAAGAGACTCCGTCGCTGTTGTGCCAAAGGGTGGGCCGTGTGTTCCTTCGTTCTCCGCCCGTTCGATCAGCTCGCACGGCGTGCGGCCACGGTGTCTCTGCCGTCGAAAAGCCGACGACGCCAACCAGTCGGCTCGCGAAATTTCGGACTCGCTCTGGCCTGATTGACAGGCGAAGCCAACGAAATTCGATGGATCGCAAGAGGGCAAGCCGCAGAAAGAACGGGTACAGTATCGAAATACGCGAAATCTCTACCGATTCGACGCACGCCAGCCTGCGCGGGCCGTACTATGCCCGGTTTCCTCCCGGTATGTTAACCCACGCCAAATTAACTGCAACCGCCACTCGTTTCCGCGCACGTGACAACCCGTGACATGCCGCGAGATAGCTGCGCACTGCTTTAAGTACCGCCACCACCGCAGTCCAGTCTTTCTCACTCGTCACCTTCACCCACCACCACCAGAGCACTCCACCACCCACGGATAGCGGCCCCCACTCCACCACCCGCTTCATCCGGCCAACGCACTCCTGGGCACCACCACCATCTCCACCGTTTTCACCATATCCACCACCATACACGCAAAATGGAAGGCTCCGCGCTTCACCTCGAGAACCGAACCCAGGTCATAGTTTGGTACCGTTCCTCGGTCTTCTCCTTCAACTGTCGCTTTCTTTCTTCGCTCTTTGTTCTCTTCCCACACGTCGCGTTTCGTTGTTCGCCCGAACCTTCGCTTTCGCTTTCGTTCTTCTCCGCGAGAGAGCCCAAAGCTGACGTGTTTTCTTCGCTCTTCCGCTCAATCTAAAACAGGCTGCGCGAGAACTACAAGCATGCCACCACCACCTCGGTGAGCAAGAGGAGCGTGTTCGCGCACTACCTCGAGG